CGGACGGGAACGAGCGTGTCTCGGAGGTGTCGGCGCGGCCCGGGCGTTCCCGGGTTCAGGGTGGCGGGGGAAAACAGCAGCCGGCGCAGGGCCGTGTGGCGAACTCAGGCTTGCTGCGTTGCGGCCGGAGGCTCGGTAAGGATGTGCCGCGCAGGGTAGAGTACCGGCGTCTGCACGGGGCTGGGTCCTGTGCTAGCCAACTCGGGTCCCGAGCCGCCTAGAGACAACACGTTGCGGGGCGAGCTGTGACCGGGTTGAGCTGTGGGGTTCGGCAGTAGGCTGGGTAGCCTGTGTAGCCTGCAAAGGGCTTGCTCTGGCTTTTAGCATATGAAATTTTATGTTGATTTGCTTTTAGTATCTTAGGCAATACTGTGGTTTTATGGCTGTAACAATAGATAAGCCTGCACAGGGTTTTGGCCAAAGAAGTGAAACCGTTTTATACTGGGTTAATTGGTTATTGGTTAATTGTTAATTGGTGATTTCTATCACATCGTTTTCTCACAAGTGAAGCTCAGGCATGTTTTTCTCCTTTTGTGTTTCTATTTAACTAAGATTCATCTTCCCCATACAAAGTATTTAAACTTTTGGGCCTCTGTTTTACACAAATGTCCTGTTTGAGTATATTTTTAACAATATTTGCAGTCTGCTATCATGGGTCTTTGGAGATAGATATGTTGAGTTCTGCTTTAGACTAGCTGACAATGTCTTTAAAAACACTGTTGTTTCCAGCTGAGCAGAGGATATAAGGCGACCAAAGACATGTTCATCTCCTCTGCTTCTTTTTGATATGCAGCTGTGTTGCAAAGACAGCATCACCATACACAGGAGAAATTCTTCACATGTCTTGTTTGGTTTTTTAATGAAGATGTGTTAAAGTCTTAAAGTTATAGACTTTCCTATATCCTGGACGTACGAATTGTAAATGTTACCATAGTTCTTTCATGGGTCAGTCTTGACTGGCTTTTAAATGGGTTAGTTGAAGAAACCTGTGTCTTTCTTTGTTTCAGGTTGTAGAGGAGCACAAGTTGAAGAAATATGGAGTTTGGAACCAGAGAACTTTGAAAAATTGAAGTAAGGCATTCTTCCAATCTACATGGGGTTTATTCACATTTGTCTGGCATCGCAGCAAGCATGTGCTAAATTTGAGTGGGTTTTGGTGGCTTTTTTTTTTTGTGGAGTTTTTTGCTTCACTTTCTGCAGAAGTTCATTAGATTTTTGATTTAACTGACTAACTGGCAATTAAATTACTTTTTATTAATGCATTGGTGCATAATCTGGCTTTTCAGGTTTTGGAGGGAGATATTAATAGCAGATAGAGTGTGAAAACAGATTTCTAATGATTTTTTGTCATTGCCTTGTGTTATATCCTTCAAGAAAATTTTTTATAAACTTCTGTTTCTTGCTTTATCTCCCTTCTTCATCACATAACATGATATTGCATCTGTTGCCTTTAACTTACTGTACTTACTCTTGTTTTTCCTGCGAAGCACTTCCATATGTATGTGAGGGCAGATAGTCTTAGAACTGACAGTGACTGATGTCATATGGAACTGTTCTGCCCTCATTAGGCAATATTAATTCATTTACCATTTTGTATGTGATGTATTAAGTGTTACCTGTGTTCACATACAGGAGTTTAAGAGGAGAAAGTCATTCAGCTCTGACCGTATTCTGTTCCTGTGCTGATCCTCTGTTTGTGTAATTAGTATTTCAGAAGAAATACAGAAGGTGCAGTTCTAGAATTTTTGTATGACTGAAGATAGTTTACAAGTGGCAGAAATGTTATTTGAGAAGTGATTTATTTGCTGCCTGCATTATATACTTCATGTGATACTTCATCAGAGCATTGTCTCTTCTGTTCATAAAGGAATAGCTTGCTTGTGCTGTCAGATATTTGTCTTTCTAGCCTTGAGTGATGGCCAGCTTCCTTCCTTTGCACGCATGCATACAATACTTCAACTGAAACACTAACAAGTTTAAGAATATGGTGACCTGTAACAGTTTTCAAATTCCCTTGGTGTACCCACTGTTTAAGAAGACATGTCAGACTTCTGGACGGAGCGTAGGAAAGGGTTCTTATGCAGTACAGTAGTATGTTTACCTTCTGTAGCACCTTCATGACAATGACCTTAAATGCATGTTGAGATAAATTTCTGCTTTACTAGAGCTATGGATTTTGTAAGAGTTGCTTCCTTTACTAATTTTTTTACTATGCGAATACTAAATACGGTGCATCATGCAGTAGAAGCTATTCACTGTGCAAGACGTGGTCTGAAGAGCAAGGCATGATTTTAGTAGAAAACTAGATTTCTCAAAGAGACCTCAAAGCATGAAGTTTCACAAGAGGTCCTCTTTGAATATTTCTTTTATACCTAAAAGGATTACCAGAACTTTAATTCCAGCTCTTGTTTATGATTGACTTATGTTGTGATCACTGTTTATCACTATCAAATGCAAATGAATGCTGTGTAACTGTAATAGAGTAACCAGGGAAGCTGGTCCTGACTTACAAAAAATTACTAAGTCCTAATTCATTCGGATTGAGATTGTTTAGCATATATGGAAAGGAGCCTGAAATATGTTCTGTCCAATTAAAAAACAACTGAAAATTTCAGTGCAAATTCCCTGTGTTAAGGAAGACAATTAACAGAATTACCAAACAAGCATACAGTTAAATTGTGGCAGAGATTTTTTGCTTTCATATTTTTCATCACTATAGGTGGTTTCATTTACCTGTCAATTTTATTTTTTAGGCCAGTACATGGACTCATTTTCCTCTTCAAGTGGCAGCCTGGAGAGGAACCAGCAGGTTCTGTTGTTCAGGATTCCAGACTGGATACAATTTTTTTTGCGAAACAGGTATGGTGAGTTCAGTATTGTTCTTGGATATGCCACAAAGCGTACCTTTTAATAGCAAAAATTAGCCTCCTTTTGTGAAATAACTTCAACAAATTCTGTGAGAGTAGGAACTGGGTGTTAAAAGGTGATCAACAAAGCAGATCAGATTGATCTGTCAAATCAGACAAATATATTACTTATGGAAAAGTAAAGCTCTTATTTGTTTGTCAGACCTCTCCTATAAGAGTAAGTAACTCTTCTGTGCAATAAATAACTACTTGGTAAATGTTCTCAGCAGAATGAGCAAAATATTTTTTTGAAACCACTTTCAACAAAATCTAGGAAGAAATGTTTATTTTGGTCCAGTTTTTATTTCTTGTGTTTCTCAAATGTGCTGTAGGCAGGACAGTATAAGCTGTAGGACAATACTTTCTTTTAAGTATTTGCAGACTACTTTGGCATGGAACTTTAAAGTACTTAATTCAGAAAGGTGAGCTTAAAATTAGCGATTCCATAAAAAATTGGTTCTGATGATGTGTTTTATTAAATACCATGTAGTACTGAAATTTTGTTGGCTTTGACAGGGTGTTGTGCATGTTGCTTGCAAGCAGGAGAAGCAGAAGTGACTCAAATGAACATAGGAGTATTTAATAAATGTTTTTACATCTTTTTCAAGACCTGCTTTTCCAGCAGTGATAAATGTAACAGTCCAAACAACCACTTTAATCATACATGTGTTAATTACAAAGCATTCATATCAAAGGGCAGATGATTAGGCTTTCTGTGAAGACTGACACATAGACCAGTTGTTGATTTTTGGGGAAGAGGTCAAGAAGGGGGAATTGTATTTGTTTTTTTTTCCACTCCCCACAAACACAGAAGTGTTTTCTGTGTAAATATCAACATATAAAGAAGCTTCCACACACTTTTTCTGCCTGAAAGTGTGGAAATACAGAAAACTATGGACACGTTAGGTGTATCTATAGGGCTCCTGGCTACTCTGTATGTGTACTTCTGATGGACAGCTAATAATCTTTAATTTGTTTCTTTTTATAATTAACTTACTGCTTCTTGCTGTTGAGCATTACTTTATTCCTTGGATTTCTTAATGTTGTTTTCTTCATTCTTCCCCTGCTGCAGCTCTTCAGTGCTGACAAACAGTGTCCACCATTCACCGGATACAATGATCAGCAGTGGGTTGCCAATGTCCTTATAGGTGTTTGATAGACACTGGTTTAGGTTGTGATCTCTACCTAGTCAAACGTATTGTTAGTGATCAGTAGGCTGTGGCTACAGAATAGCCTGGATGCAGAGAACCTCAGGGAAAGTTCTTAATAAAACTCTCAAAAGGGTAGTTATGTGGTAAGGGGAAATTAGATATAAATGTAGAGAATTTTTTTCAGATGAAGGCAGATTTACCCTCATTCAAGGGACTTAATCCTTCTTGTTTCCTGAAAGCAGATGAGATTCTTCCAGAGTTGCTGTTCTTGTGGATATGGAGACATTTCAAAGCATTTGTCTGCTAGTTCCAATAATTTTGCTTTTTTTTCACCTCTCCACTTTCCTTTTCTGAAGTGTGATACTGTATTTAAAAGTAAGGAACTAAGAGAAGCTCTGTTGAGCTTTAAATTGGTACTGCAGTATGTGTATCAGAAAATTTGAGTATTAGACTTACTAACAAAGCCAGAAAACTAAAAGCTAATGAGGAAGATCTATTTTGTCACTTTGAAGCATTCATATTTCACTGCTTTCTTAAGCCTAAAACCTCATTGTGGAGGTGTAGGTACTTTATAGTCTTCCCCCTCCTTCAACTGCTACCTTTGAGGATGTGCTGAAGTGACTCTAAGAATTCATTAATTTCAGTATGGAAAGGAATTTCTAGAAGCATTCAGTATTTTGAAATAGTAGTACCTACTTATGGCACTTGTTGGTGTGGCATATGTTTCAAAAATAACTTGCAAAGAGTTCAAAATTAGAATATCGTTTTCCCCTTGTAGTGTTGCCTGCTAGCCAAGTGCAGTGGCTTAGCAAAACCCAAACGTTTCTTGTAGACATATGTGTCTCTGTTTCATGTCAGTTTGCTTTTGCCTGGACTGAACAACTAGTGAAATAGTCACAAAGAAATTTAAATTTAAGAATCCTCAAATAAGTAAAGAAGCTGGTTTGGGTATTTTGAGGGGATTTGCAATCCCAGTTTAGCTCTGACTTTCACGTTGGAAGAAGTTAGCCTTGGCTAGAGATCCAACTTGACAAGCCATATTTTGAGGACTGATGGTGTTTTCTGAAGCAAATGGCTGATCTGATCACTTGCTGGTGACAGGAGCAGGATGTCTCGTTCCTCGCAGCCACTCTCCTTTGACTTCGTGGTTCTGTGCCTCTCTTGCAGCTCAGCTGCTCATTGAACTTCCATGAGCCACTGCAGCTCATCAGCCAGCAGTCTCTGCCTGTGTCTGGGCTGCTCTCCTGCCCTGTTGTGAGATGTGTTTGTTCTGTGAGTCTGTACAGGGCAAAGCTGGTGCAAGGTAAATGAGAGGGAACAGGAGTTTCTTTATAGCAGTGCTGAGGTTATCTCACCTCTTGGAACGGAGTCTGTGCGGCCTTCCAAGTCGCCCATTTTACTGCTGAGGAGGTTTTAAAGTGTCGTTGTAATTCCTTTATTAGCAAATAGCTGTTAGTATGTAACAACGATATACTATGGGAAATAAATGAGGCTGTTACAGCATGGATCTTTCTGTTCAATTTTAGCTGAAATGCTCCCTCTTAAAAGCTATTTAATGTTGACGGGGGGCAGGGGAATTTAGTTAAACATAAAAGGCTGCAGCTCTCAAACTGTGTCCAACAAAATAGCTTTAAAATTACATTAGGAAACACTATATTAATAAGTTTGTGCATGCTCACACTTTACTCGTATCCACTTTCATGGTGATGTTGCCTTTGAATTCCAAATGACAAACAGATCTTTTTAAAATAATGAGTATGCTGGGGGATGTTGAATTGTGAAGTCTGTCTAATATGCATGCATATTAAAAGATTTCTTTTTTTTTTAATGATCACTTTCATGTGCACTTATGTTAAATTTGGCCTCCCTGTTATGCCTAGGTATGATTTGGTTCTCAATTTGAGGCCACAGAACTCTGGATGATCTTACATACCCTTTGAGCTAGGATACCTAGGCACAATGAGGTGAGTTAAGGGTACAATTCCAGCCTTAACTCTGAATTTCCTGATTTCTGTGTTGCTTAACTAGGCTCTTGCTGTTATTTTTAGACACAGTGGCTACAGGGTTGTGCCACTTGATCTACTCGGTGATCTTCAGCACTGTTTTGAGTAGCTGTATTCTGTGCTGATCACTGCAGAAGTCTCTTGATAAAAAAGAACGCCACTGTTGCAGACATATGTGCTAAAATTTTGTAGTTCAGTAACCTCTTCAGGTTTTATTACTCAGGTATTGTTATCATGCCTTTGTTTGGTGCTATGTGTTTATTTTGTGCTGCATTGTGATGATAGAACATCACAGTTGTGATTAAAAAAAAAAACCCCATTGATTTCAGTAATTTGGAACAGTCTATATGCCTTTGGAAGGAGGATGTTCTGAATGATACTGTTACTAGCAAAACATTGGTCTTTAGTTATTTTTGTGCAACTAATGGAAAAATACTATATGAGAGTGTGTTTTTTTAATTAACATTTCCAGTGCTTCAGTTGATTTCAAACACAATTTTTGACATATTCAGATTTGATAACATTGATAGATCATATGTCAGTGTTAAAGCCGAACTTGGGATAACAGCTAACTTACAAGAAGTAAAATGAAGTTGCAACACATGTAATCAGAGATTTTCAGTAACTGCATATAAATATAGGCAGATTATATCTTTATTCCAATGGAATAAAAATTAAAAGTAAGATTTTTAAACAAGAGTAAGTGTTGTGACTTTGTTCTGATGCTGACTTTTTCCTGTTGAGCTTTGTAAAGCCCACTGTTTTGTAATAGTGGGATGCTCTAGTGAACCCAAGAGATTTGCTGGTTGTACTACTAATTGCAGCCCAGGGTTGTCCACAGCATTTTGAAAAAGAAAATATATCATCCATCTGACAGAGTATGTGAGAGCTTAAGGTGCTTCAGCCCTAAATTAATCTAGAAACTCAGATTAGATCCTTAGAGAAAGACACATGGTTATGAAGTTTTGCATCTTCACTGTAGAGTGTGCCCAAGCAGCACATCCAAGTGCTTCCCTTGTTTGTTTTAAGCTGAGCTTCACTTGGTGATATAGCAATCTTCTCAGGTTTTTTGAAATCATCTTAGTGTTGTGCATATACATCTGTTTATATGTTACTGTTTTCTTTCAAATGTTATTAAATACACCTTGTAGCTTTGCTGGTGAAATCTTTCAAATAGGAGTATCTGCTTCCAGGTGGAGTCCAGCATATAAATATCTCACGAGGTTTTCCTGGACAGAAATAAGCAGATGTTGGGATTTCTGAACAAATACAGAAAATTATCTTGATTTTCCTCATGTCAAAGTAAAAATATTTCTGGGTCAACCTGCATGTTTTGTCCTTCTGTCTAAATGTAAAAAATGTTTTCTCCTAGCCTTAAGTGGGAGATACATTGGAAATTTGTGTGGATGGATATGCTGACCAGTTTCTCTTTTGAACCCACTAGCTCGTGTGTGTAGGAGTGCTGGACTGGCTGTGTGCATTCATAAGATGCTGTGCCCCTGTGACAAATGAACCTTGCCCTCATCTATATTTGGTGCTGCAGTCACTTCCCCCTCACTCTGTCCCCTTCACCCTGCCCAGGAACAGTCACTAGCTAGGTACTTCCTTCTTCCATCTTGGTAGTTCTCTCATGTCATCTATGTCAAGGAACACACCATCTTTTTACATGTAACCCCTGCACTTGGTTCTATTCCTCTGCTGCAGGACTGTTCTTGCTGCCTTTTCCTTAACCCCTCTTGCCTCCTACTTGCTGCAGAGTATCTGTAGTTGTATTTTCATTTCAACAGCTGGAGGCCACTGGTCCAAGATCTGCATCTGTTGTGTGTTATTTTTCTAGCAGCAAGACAGGGTTGTTTAGCTTGGTCCTTACATACTTGGACAAACTCCTCTCATACTGTAGCTGGAACACAAATATATTTATGCTAAAAGGCAAATATTTGATGAGACCACAAATTACCTGCTGAGTTTAATTTTTCCTCGTATTTCTGCTGTTTAAAGCTCCTGTATCCAGCTGGTCCAACACAATTTTTCTGTTGATTTTGCCTCTAGACACAAAATCTCTCTTAATTTCCCTTCCCTTTTTTGATGCCATTATTAGGTGAGCAGTCTGCCAGAGTGACTGTTGCATCTTGATTTTTTTTTTGTACAAAGAGTTACAATTTAGTGCTTGCGCGCGCTCTCGCGCGCGCGCTCGCTCTCTCTCTCTCTCTCTCTCTCTCGTGTCCTGTATTACATGTCATTTAACAAGTGTAGTTTGCTGTAGGGACCCTCCCACAGGTGTCTCTGCCTTGTTTTTCCTTTATTAGCTTAATTACAGTGTTTGTAACCACTGCTTCAGGTTAACCCACTCTAATTCACTGAGAATCTTTCTGCTTTCTTCCTTGTATTACTTTTACAACTGTCTCTTATACTGTTCCCTAGTCATAACTCAGAATCTTTAGTTCTTGGTTCCTTTTTTTGTGTCACAGTATTAATTCTCTCAAATTGTCATTCTAGTAGTCTGTGTGTTTTAATTTTTCTGCTTTTGTTCATGATTTCACTGCCCTTGATGAATTTCCTTTCTATATCCCTTATTTTGTAATTGTGTGAACTCTAGCCTTCAGTTTGTGTGCCTGCAGCTTATTTAATTTTCATTTCAGTTGCTCTAATCTGTTTTGCATGTGTAGTTGATTCCTTGATCAGCATTGAAGTAAATTATTTTTCTTAAATTAAGTGCTTTATTATTTTTTGTCATCTGCACTATACAGGCATAGTCTGAACTTGAAACCACTCTGAAGTATAGTAAATTAATATATCATGTGGCTTATAGTATTAGAATAGTAAGTTTTCCTTCATCAGGGACTAGTTTTGATTGTAAACCAGATGGGTTGGGTTTTATGTTTTTGTTTTTGTTTTTTTTTTTTTCTCCTTTCTTGTTGGAAGTGGTTTCGTGTTGACAGCCCAAACTAATTTTCATTTGTTTAATACAAAATCACATCTTCTCCCAGGCAGGCCTAAATGTTTAAGTAGCATTTTCAATTGCAAAATAGTCTCATAGACTGAAGATACACATTATTTTTCCTAGCCTATAGCTCACTGAGAAAAAAACTGCCTATATGAAGTCTTTCTTGTCTTATGGCCTTACACCATTTGATTACTGTGCTTTTAATTAAATCTCAGATTATGGTAATCCTTGTAGTCCCTCTCTTTCTTTCAATACTGTGTTTTAGTTTGGGTATTACTAATCAATATTAAAGACATGGCTGTAATATGAAGGGCTTTGTATTTTCTAAAAATGGAATATGTAACACTTAAGTCTAAGGAAGGGTGTCACACAAACTAGTAAGTTAAATGTTAGGTTGAGAAGGATAGCTATATTGTAAATTGATAAATAAGTGAAAAACAAATTCCTTATGGCTTAGTAATGAGCGAACAATCTTTCAAAAGATCTTTACATCATGGAACACCTCTAAATTTTATTAGTTTATCCCAGGGGTGTTTTTTTTTTTGTCCAATGCAACGTATTATAATAATTATAGATTCCCTAATGTCCTTTGTTGTCCCTATTTTTTCTTTTTTTTTTTTTTTTTTAGCTTTTACTGCTTATAGGAATTCTGATTATCTGAAGGACATTCTTTTTAGGAGAGCTGACTTTTTTTTTTTTTAAGACCATAGGTAGAACAATGTGATTTGGACAGCTTGCTTTGAATAGTATTATGTTTTTTTTCCCACTGAGATCAGAGGGTTCCTGTATTTCTTTTATGCCCTGTACTAATCACTTTAGGGAGATGGTGAGGCAGTAAAATGACAGAATTTCTAAGTGCATGTGTGAAAAACCAGTTTTATCAATGATTGTGACAGCCATCCAGTGTTCATTTTATTAGTCTCCACAGTAACGGCTTTTCTCTGGCTATTTAGAAGAGATTTTCTGCCATTTTAGAGTGAGTCTCTAATGTGAATCAGCATAGAGTGTGTTTAACATAAAAAATGGTGCCCAGCGTAAGTTAAATTTCTGTCACTAGTACTGAAGAAATTCTCAACACTTTTTTCTAGGTAATTAATAATGCGTGTGCTACTCAAGCCATAGTAAGTGTGCTCTTAAATTGTGCTCATCAAGATATCCATCTAGGAGAGACTTTGTCAGAATTTAAAGAATTTTCACAGAGTTTTGATGCTGCGGTAAGTGTCTACTATTTTCTGTGTTTTAAGTAGTACGTTGTTATATCTGTGCTGGCTTACAATTTAATTCTGTTACTTTCAGATGAAAGGTTTGGCACTAAGCAACTCAGAAGTGATTCGGCAAGTTCACAACAGTTTTGCCAGGTAACATATGTTTTAAATCTAGGCAAAACTTGTGGAAATTCTTTTTCATCTCAGTTTTTTTTTTTTTTTTTTAAATTTTCTTTGCAGACAACAGATGTTTGAATTTGATGCAAAGTCTGCAGCAAAAGAAGATGATGCATTTCACTTTGTAAGCTATGTTCCTGTTAATGGGCGGCTGTATGAACTAGATGGCTTAAGGGAAGGACCAATTGATTTAGGTAATATTTTATTTTCTATTTTTTCTGAATATCATTTTAACAAGAGCTTCCTGCAACAAATTGGTTGTATGTTTTAGGATCAGATCAAGTTATTTATTAAAATAAAGCATATCTTTAAAGTTTTCTTAATATGCTATTCAGCATCATACTTCTTTGCTGTCATTTATATTGTTTTATTTTTGTTGGTCTGAAAATTTCATTTTCTTCCTGCTTCCTCCATGTTTCTAATCTCTCTCTCATTGAGTAGTCAAATGAATAGGCCATGTAATCCAATATCTAATACCCTAATAGTTTTGTTGCAAGAGAGAAGTTCACATAACCCATTTCTTGTGGATGTTTACTTTACTTACATGAGGAAATAGGTTGTTCTCAGCTGGCTCTAACGAAACCTGACAAAACTATGTAATCTTTTTGGCTTTCCTTACTGGCAGTGTGCAATTCCTTTTGCTAGTGTTTTTTTGCCATGTCTTCCTTTTTATGGTATTGTTGCCCAGGACAGTTGCCAAGTCATGTTTTCAAGGCAATGGTTTTTTTCCAGTTCGAATGTAAATGTTCCATTTATTTCGTTGTTTGTTTCTTTTGTGCATCTATACCGTTGACTCCATACACTTTTTATATATTATGTGGCTGGTGTTTACACACTGCCTTCTTTCTTCCCAGATAGCAAAGATTATCCCAATGTTTTTTAAAAAGAATAGCTTCTTCTGGCATAGTTTTAGTCTCTTTAAGACTTGCTCCTGTTTTGGCTTGTAATCTTTCTTAACTTGCACTATGTGTGCCTCTACAGTACCTATCATGCATCTGCACTTTTCTTTGGAGTCTGATATAATCTCAGTATGTTCCACAATTTGTTTCAAGAGTGTTTTCCCCATTTTCTTGGCAGTTGTATTTATTTTTGTGCTGAATAATAACTTGCTGCTAAATCTCATCATTAGTCTGGCTAAAGAGACCGTAGATTCTGCAGGCCTACCAGTGACATAACTTTTATTGTCAGATCATGAGTCTCTATTTGCTTTAAGGTCTTGAATTTTTGAGAGGTATTATCAATTTATGAAATCAGCTTTAGTTATTCTCTCATTTATCTTAAAATCAAGTTATCTATCATATATCCTTTTGTATTTTTTCCTGTGTCTGAATTTTAACGTATTGCATCTACATAGTATTAACTCTGTCTAAAGGGAACAGCCATTCATCTTCTAAATGGAAAAACTATCCATACTTTTTTGCTGTCTTGTTTTATGGTGTCATATCAACTAATTTGTCTTCTGTCATAAAAATCAAGTAACATAGTTCCTCTCTTACCATTGTTTCTTATTATCACAAAATATGTTAGATGCTTATGCCCTTAAAATGAATTTTTGCTCCACTGCGTTAGCCAGTATGCTATCTAAATGTTGTTATTAAAAATGTCTTCCACCTCCCAGAAAATCCCCTGGGTAATTTGAGAGTGCAGTTTCCAAGGAAAAACTTGAAACATACTCTGAAGTGGCTGCATAAACCTGAATTATACAAGTCTTCAGTTTGCAGTAAATTTTGCAAAGATGATTAATCTTTCTTTCATTGTTTTTTCCCAGGTGCATGCAATCAAGACGACTGGATAAGCGCTGTACGGCCTGTTATAGAGAAACGTATACAAAAGTAAATGGTCATGATGCTTTCAAAATATAGCACCTCATACATGTTAAAATATTTCTTACTCTTCCTTCAGTTAAAGGCTTTCAACTAAATTGCTAAGGAATGACACGCATCATTTTTGTGTGCATATCACTGTGTAAATTCAGAACCTATTGCCTAACGTGAGCCAAATAAGTTGAGATAAGTCAAATATGTCGTGTTCCCATATGACTAATAGAAGTAGGTGTCTGTAATAGTGAAGAGCAAGATAATGAGCTCCTTTAGACAGATGTGGGTCTTTGCCAGTGAAAACTAAGAGTGTAATTGTTACGGATAAAGTTTGGCTTTGTGCTTATAATTAAAAATACCAGATAGCTGTATTCATACAGTGGTATTTACAGAGAAAAAGTTTTTCTGAGGTCTGTGGCTTGTTTTAAAAATTTAAACTGGAAAAACTTACTGTAGTTTTCCTATTTCTTAACTCTGACCCCAAACTGCAGCCCTATACGTGTTAGAAAGTGGATTTGATGCCATTTTCAGACAGTAATTTTCAAAGACTTTTATTTGAATATTTTTGATAAGAAAAATGTTGCTGCCAAGTCACATTTGGAGAATTTAAACTCTAAAAGGCTTGACAGTCTGTTGAATGCACTTTTCACCTTGTATAAAGAAGTCTCTGACATTTTCTAACAAGCAGCAGTGAGGAGAAATTAAAGACTTGTGTGTGGCGGTTTTGTTGTCAGGTCATATTCTGTTTCCTTTTTTGAACAGTTGTAATATTACATTTTTTGTGTCACTGACAGGAATTAGTAATATGTTGGTGAAGGAGGTTGTTAGGAGTTACGTATTTGCAAGTGCTCGTATGAGGTCCGATTTTACTTTGCAGCAAGATTGAATCTGTAGCACAAGTTAATATACATTTAAATTCTTTTCCACAAAAATGCATTCCTCATTTAGTTGTGATGTTAATGACTCATTTTGAAAGTGTATTGTTTGAGTGTGGTTGGTTTGTTTCTTCTTTGTTCCTCAATTAGATACAGTGAAGGTGAAATAAGGTTTAACTTGATGGCTATTGTATCTGACAGAAAGATGATATATGAGCAGAGGATTGCAGAATTACAGCAGCAGCTTGCAGAGGTAGGCCATGGTATTTAACTTACTGGAGTAGTTCTCTGATATGGTTCTGTCTTCCCTTTATTATTCATCTCCTCCAAATGAAGCATCCCTAAAAAAAGCACGGAAGGGTTACTATGGATATGTCCAGCACAGTGTAGTGCTGTGTGGCTGCACTGATGCAGCTCTGGCTAGTTCCAAGTGACCTAATTGGAGAGCTCAGTACAGCCTGACCACATCATTGTGGCTCTCTGGCTTGAGTTACTTTCTGTGGTAGTGGAACTGTTACTTTCCTAGTACCTGAGATAATCTCTTTATAACTGCCAAGAATGTTCCTATAACTGTAAGCAAGACTGAATCTTTCTATGATAGAAATACTCTTAAGGCTTATTTTAATTTACTGCATTTTTAATATTTTATTTTTAGTGTAATCTATTTAACTTTTTCTGTTTTGTGGAAGGAGGAGCCTATGGATACAGATCAAAGTAGTAATATGTTAAGTTCTATACAATCAGAAGTTGCAAAATACCAGATGTTAATTGAAGAGGAGAACCAAAAATTAAAAAGATATAAGGTATGTAGCCTTTGCTTTTTCAGTTCAGTTACTGTAAAAGTTGTAAGAAAAGTCAGGTTTTATGTCTATGGGAGGCTGTTGAAAGTAATCTGAAGGAACTGGATGGGTACTAGAAAGAGAATGCTACAAAAATTTATGTTGCATTCCTGAATTCACAGTTTCATTACTAGTTTACTTCCTTTTAGCCTAAGGCTTACCAGTCTTTTGGTAATGGTCTCTATAGCTCCCTTTGTTTTGCCATTTCTTTGTGTCTTTCAAAATTTAAAGTATTTTTAAGCATAGTGAGTTATAGAACTCCTACAAAGAAATTGCTGTGTGCCCTAGGAGGCTGATCAGCCTTTTTTTTGCTGGCGTTGGTGATTGCATTACTAGATGTAATAGTGGCCTCTTACCAAGTAGGATTTTTTGTTGTTTTTTACTGGAATGATTTTGACGTGTTAGTTGTGAACTTTTCTACAGAGCATCCATACAAGCTCTTGCAGCTCTTATTGTCAATAATGAAGAATGTTGATGCATCAGTTGGTGCTGAAAACTGATCAGGAGATGCTGTCAACTTAATTTATAGATTCATTCTGTGTTTGCACATACATCTCCTGGTCTGACAGCTGGGTGCCTGCATAGCATTTAGTGAAGAGGCTCTGCTAGGGTGCTTGAATTGTTCTTCCATTACAGTTTACCTGCTGTCTTTTCCTCTGTGGGAAGCACGGAAGACACAACTGGCATGCTCTGCATTTTCCTAAATGAGTACTTTGTGTGTGTGCTGAATGTGTGTTGTTCTTTGAAATGAAGTGTGGTAATAATGAAAATGAGATATGGGAAAGTTTCTCCAAGATGGAAATCATCACTTGGAATTTTTTTTTATAGTTCTCTAATACTTTTAAAGAAATGTTGTTGGGGTTTTTTTTGGTGGGGAAGGGTGGAAAAAGCTGAGTAACAACTTTTTTTTTCCTCCCTTAACCTGTGTTTGGCAGGGTATAGAAAATGGCTAGATTAAGTTGTATATGTCAACAGGTAAAGAAATGAAAGAAATGTTTTCACTAGATTTTTATTTTTTTCATTAAAAATTAAAGATATGTTTTCACTAGTTTCTAGACGGTACAGACTTCAGTAATTCTAATGATAATTTTAGAAGTACTTTAAATATACATTTTAAATTATTTTAAATGATAATTTTAAATGTACTCCTACAGTACATTTGTTAATTTGTAAAGTGGTGGTGTTACCTGTCTAGAGCAATGTTGCTACAGTGTGTTTCACAACGTCAGGATGCAGTTCAAGGAACTAAAAAAAAATATCTTGTGAGTGTAAGCACACAAGTGAAACTGGGGACCAAACAGCCTTACAGTTCCTTACTGTCTGTGGAAATATTGTGGTAACTGCTTAAAAGTGAACTTTTTTTTGTTTTAAGCTACTTGAGGGTCTATGGACAATGTTCCTCTCAGCTGAAAACTCTTTCTCAAGGACAGAGCTATTGCAGAAGCTGCAAAGCATTTAGTATAATAAAAATAGTTATGCTTTTGCATTACAGAAATGTTTAAGTCTTTAGTTAGCTGAGGCCACAACTACACAAGGACTGTAGAAATAAATAGGCCAAGCTGCTATTTAAGTTGAGGGGAAAAAAGTGAAGAGTTTTAACAGTCCTTGTCAGTGTTACTGCAGAGGCTAAACCATGTAACTCAATCACTGAGGCTTTCTCAGTTAGTATGACAAAAATAAGGAGAATTTGTGCCTTAAGTAAATTCATCTGGCATATACTTTCTCACCATGTGTTCAAGATTTTATTGCTTCAATTTTATTTTTAGGTGGCTAAAGTTGAAAAAAAAACCTGTTTCTTTGGCGGGGGGGGGAGGAAGGGAAAGCTGTCGGGTATGACAGAACCATGACAATGGGCATGGGAAAAATCACTGTTTAGCCATATAATAATTCTGTTAATGCTTTTAATGTATTTTTAGATTGAAAATATTAGAAGGAAACATAACTACCTGCCTTTCATTATGGAATTATTAAAGACTCTAGCAGAGCACCAGCAGTTAATACCATTAGTAGAAAAAGTGAGTATTTCCAAGCTGACTTTTAAGAAACAGCATATTAATGTAATTCTTTGTACCTTCTGCTTAAAATAAAAATGTAGTCAAATATCCTGGAAGCATAAATGGCACGTGTTTGTTTGTTTAAACCACTAAATTCAGATATATTGCTGGTTTACCTGATGTGCCTCCTGAGAACTGCAAAGCACTAAACCCAGTGCAGATTGGAGATTGTAGCACCAACCAACATTGCAGTAGTATTATGGAAAATCAAACTGTATCTCCCCTTTGGTAACCTAAACATTTTTTTTTCTAGTGGTGATACAGGAAGAGGCAATTCAATATCTGCTAAATAATGATGTTACAGTGCACAAGGTGCTACAATACAAGGGACATATAATTTGGGCTTTTCTACATGGGTAGTTAGAAGTCCTATTAAAATTGTGATGTGTAGCTCCAGTTCTATGTGGTAGAGTTCCCCATACTACCTTGATATCCCTTTTTCAACTGGAGATGATTTAAGTGTATGCACACACAGATGTCTATGTAGAAGATTGTCCTTTGGCCAGCCTCCACTGTCAATACTGGGTTGTCTTGCTTTACCTAACTGTCAACGCCAGAGGGCAACCTTTGCACAGATCGTGGTAATCTAGGGAGCTGCAAATCTCATTTTCTCGGTTCTTACACTGATTTACTGGCTCATTGTTTTCCCCTTTTTAAGATATCTAGTTATTAAAATTTACTTTACTGTAAAGATTTATATTAAGGCTTGTTTATCAAAGTGTGTCTGTCACTTTTGCAAGGTTATTAAACTGTATGGCCAGTCAAGTCTTGCATATCTACTCATGTACCATAGGCAACATCCCTAATTTTGAACTCATTGAAAAATAATCTCTATATTATTATAATGAGAGAAGAGCTAAATATTATTTAATGAGTATATTCTTTAGCTGAATTTCATTAAGAAAGTGTAAGTGGTGACTTATACCACTTATGTGTGTATGATACAGAATGGACAAATGCAGTGCTCTGATACAGAATGGACAAATGTTTTGACCCAAAGATAGTTAGTATTACATCTGAATTGTTCCCTCTCCTTGCCTAATATTTTTAAGACTAAGTTCATAAGGAAGAAAATTCTAGTACTCTGTCAGTTTGAACTATCTGTCAATTAGCACATGAGGATCTGTTTGCAAATATCTTGGTAGGAACTCTTGTGCTTTTTTCTGCTCTGCTCTTTTGAAAGACCTAAAAAAAAAAAAAAATCTCGGTTGCTTCAGAGTTTAATTTGTGATTATCAGTATATCTGAATGTTGAGTTTCCTTCTGACATAAAATGTTTTTATTAGGAAGAGTTATTTCGACGTTAATTGAAATAAATGTGGAGGTATGAAAAATGAGGTTTAAATGGTGTTTTTAAATTAGTGCTTTTTTTCACGTCTCCTTTTCCATTATGAAGTTACCTAATCTTGCAGTTTCTTTCATACTATATATTTAAGCCTATATGTATTCTTTAAAGACTTCATAGACGAGCCTAGTACAATAGTAGTAGGATACTTGTGAAACGTCTAAATTTACATTTTAAATATCTCTTTCTACAGCATATTTCACTGAATGTTCAAAAATGTAGTCAGTAGTCATTCAGAGCTCCAAAAAGATCTTTGTCTTATCAGAGCTTAACATTATCTCCTTTTGTCTTCTAGGCAAAAGAAAAACAGAATGCCAAGAAAGTTCAGGAGGCCAAGTGAGGACTTTGCAAAATACATACAATTATGTGTTTCTGAAACTATTTTCATGACAACAAATAAAACTTTTCATAAACTTTCAATTTTGTCCAGCGCACGTTTGACAAAATTGTAACATTGAGTCTTGTACTGTATGCACTGGTCTCATTTTCTTCCTTCCCCTGCATCTTGTGCATGTAGTACTGCTAAGTAAAGTTTAGCTTCTCTTGGTCAAATTCAGTATTTAATGATTTGATTTCTGAAAGTTTGGGAAGCAGACCTAAAAATGTACCCATTTTGTCCCACTTGAATATAAGATCATTATACAAATGCCAGAGTTTAAGCATAAGCATGAGCTTTCTTTGCTCATCCCTACTAACAGTTATAATACTATCCAGTTGTTCAGTGGCATACCCTGTGTCTTTGTTTTTATGAAGTATGTGTCTAATTTTTTTACAAAATTGAAAAGTAAGGGTTCAGTTGTAGAAACAATTGCAAAGACCAATGTATAATCTCAAAAGATCTTCATTGCTTTAGTAGAAAAGATAATAAATATTCCCATTTTTATTTTGGCAAACTTTTTCCTGTGGTATTTTATTATTGGATAAGATGATTAGGATATGTATTGAACCTCGTCAGCCTTGTGACTTTGAGTATACATATTCTAAATTTGGGTTAGAAAGAAGGCTATAAGAATGTATCTTTGATATAAGGTGGTTCTGTTCTAGAGTATGTTAAGTCCTTAAAACAATGCTTTTTAATTGACCTTGGGAGGTAATTTCATGGAAAAAAAAAAAAAGTGTATGGAAGATTCTTGGTGATAGTGCTCACGATAGATGCTTGCACTGTCTTCCATGGACCAAAGGGAATGTCTGGGGAATGGACCTCACATGGTGTCTTTGCTTCTTAGTGGTGCTCATCTGTGAGCTGTGAATGGGCAAATTCTTTTTGGTAAGTATAGTGACAGGCCATTGTAAAAATACATATAATTTGGATTACTAAAGCACTGTTAGTGTATAGCATATATAAATTCCTTTAGAAAACTTCCTGTTTCTTCCTAAAAGACTTGGACAAGAAATAGAAAGAAAAACAAGCAGAAGGGAAAAGTGTTTGGAAGATGTTTAAAACCATTAAAATATGTTTGTTTCACCTTGCAAATAGGCCTGCTTCATTGAACTGAGGTCCTTTGCTTTTGTAGGCTTCTTTGATGAGAATATGCTGTAAATTTTTCAAATCCTAATATGGAACAAATTCTGATATCTCTTGGTGCTTTGTATGTATTGCATATCTATTGACAGGAAAAAAATTTAATCAAAGTAGTAAAACATACACTGTACTCTCCTAGTACTGAAAGGATCCAGCTGATTCATTGCTGTGGCTAAAAGGGTGAGATCTCTTTCGGAAAAGGCGGCGAGGTCCATGTGTGTGTTTTGGACAGGAATGATCAGGTCGATGAGAACATAAACTGCGTGAGAGTTCCCTACTTCAGTAACTCATTGCAGGAGTATTATTGAGGGGAAGGGGAAAACTTCCTCTCTAAGAGGCATTTCTGATCATAAAATTTCACTCAACTCCATTTCAGCCTGTTGAAAAAGTTTGTCAGTCTTTTTTAAGTGGTAGCCTGATGATTTCTGCTGCACCCTGACGTTCTTGGAGAATTTTGGTATTCTCAACAGTAAAATTTTGCTCTTAGATGATGGATGTCAACTTAAATTCCACCTTTCTCATTTTATTTGCATGCTTAGGCAAGTGCAAGAGAGGAGTTTTGCTAAAGCAGCAAATAATTTTTGCAATTGTCACCATATTTTAATGGTCATTTTTTTTAGACAGAGTAACTTAGATTGCAAGCCAACTCTGGATTTGTGGAAAAAAAAAAAAAAGGATGTGAAGATCGAATTTTAACAAAATTTTAGTCCCACATGAGTGAAAAATGAGGGGTTTAAAAACAGGTATTTAATGCATAAGTAGAACAACTCGAAACTCATACTATTTTTTTCCTGATCAAAACCTACATGTGAATTTTTGACCATTTTCATGAAGATTGTAAAACCATTTTTCATAACGTATATCTTAGTTTTAAAGGCAGCTACTTGTACAGTGCCTATTTTTAGGACAGTGTCACATGAATGTAAACCTGTCTATGAAGTTCATCAATTACTGAATTGGAGGTGCTGAAAAATCAAAATAGAGGTTTGGGAATTAATCCATCTTAAAGTTTTAAGATACTTTGTGTTCTGATACATTTGAAGGGCTACTGCTTTCTACAAGTGTAAACATATGGTTTGGCATAGCTGTCCTCAATGAAATTTGGGTATAATGAGAATAAACAAGAAGTAGAGTTTCTGTGCAGAATTCTGCCATGTAGCTGCTGTTTCCTGTTGCCCAAAAGAGGTCAGTGTGTCTCCAGTTTGCTAAAAGCTTGTTACCGGGAAATCCCAATGTAAGACTTCAGTGTGATCTCACTTTCTCTGGCTGCCAGTCGTAACATCAGACAGAAGAATCTTGCTGTAGCCTCATTTCTTCCTCTACAGGGTAACTTTTAATATTTTGTACAATAATTATTTTCAAATTAAAAAAAAACCTGGGTATAGAGTTAAAAGTTTTAACACCAAAGTTCACATGTTCAACAGCGTTTTGATTTGAGTGAATAGGTGCCCACTTAATGACTTTGATCTCTTAGAGGTAAAAGGGAAATTACTTACATCAATTATTATGATAGGGAAGTCTTTATTTTCTGTGAAAAGACAGAGAAAAGTGGTATTTTATTTTCCTCCTCAACACACAAAAGTATTAAAACAGAACTGTAAAAAAAAAAAAAATTAAGTGGAAGATACTTTTTATTGTATTGACTTATTTGTACAAAATTCTTTCAAATGTCTTCTGAAGTGTTTTCTGAAATGGACTCGAGCTTGGAAAATGTCATCAAATCTTTAATGGTATTTGAAATTTCTCAGTTACACTGACAAAAGTCTTATTTTTAAGGTACATTTAAAAATAATATTCATAAACCCTTCCTATACTTCCTTGAAACTTTCTTTTAGGAAGCTTTCAGTTCCCGCTCACAACTTACTCTGTGTGTGTTACCTTACTACCTTGCAGGGTAATTTGGTTGTTGGCACAGGGTTACGGTTACAAGGTTAATTGAAATTGAGGTGGGCTTCTCTGTTATGTGCAATAGCTGCAAATGTTAAAAACAAAACAAACAAACAAAAAACAGTTTAGCCATGGAGCCTTTTTTTCTGATCTGGGTAATTTCACTTCCTGCTGTTAATAAAATCTTATAGAGTTTGGCCTATTGAAGGCACTTGGCAAGTCTACTTAAATATTTTGCCATGATAAGCAAGGATTTTCCATATTTTGTATGGTTTGCTTATGCTTTAGTTACATCAGCTGGATATTATGTTAATATTTGACTTTTTAACTATACACATTGCTAATTGCTAGGGTTATGTCTCTGACAATAACTAAGCAATCATCTGCAGCTTAATCAGTATCTGATATTTACAGTTAAGTGAATGAAAAACAGTGTGCTTTTAAGCAAATATTTTTTATCAATTTCTGCTAATGTTATTGGTGGCAGCCTGATACCAAGATAATTTCTGTACCCCAGTTTAAACAACACAAAATAAATAAATAAATTAATACTAAGGTGTTTCTCATAAAACTAATTTCTGACTTGACCATCCAGTAGCACTTCTTACCTGAAACACATTCTGCAAATGTGTGCCAGCGCATGTATATGAATTACCATTTCTTTACAACAAATGCTGAAAAATTATTTTTATAGTAACAAGTCAGATTTCCCTGTTCTTGATGGACAATATTGTACTACATAAGACTTAAACAGTTTGCAGATCAATGTTCTATGTCGAGTCCATTAAAATACTATTAAGCTATTGTACTTTTACAGTCACCCCTTCACATCTAGTTTAAAGCCCTGTGAATCAGCCCTGCTATATTTTTGGGCAAGGATTCTCTTCCCTTTTTGAGACATGTGTCTCCCCTTTGATAACATTTCTGATGCCATATAGGCTATCCTGTTCTCAAAAAAACAATGCACAACTGTGGTGGTGGCACCAGCCCCAGAGCCATGCATTAATAGGTTGGATTTTTCTGTTCATTTCAATGTTGCTACTTTAAATCAGAATTTCATTAGGGAAAATAACTTGTGTTCCAGATTCCCTTAGCAACTGTCCCAAGGCCCTGAAGTATTTTTTAAATTGTTCTTAAGCTATGCATTGCTGCATCTTCTACACCCCTCTCACCTGTAAAAAAAGTGAGGGCTAGTAGTCTGAGGACCATACTAGGCTAGGAAGTTTCCTAGTGATGTCCTTAACCCTGACTCCAGGGAGACAGCAGACCTCCCCGTGAGGTGGGTCTACACGGCAGATATATATATATTTATATACACGTAAAAGAGATACGTGTTACAATTCTTGTGATAATGAACTGCTTATGTTAGACATTATGTACTGAGTGGGCACCGAAAGCTGCCAATATGGAAAGTTTATTTGGAGAACAAGTGATGAAGATACGACTACTGAATGAACTAAACGACTGTAATATCTATAAAGGGACACTAGATGACAGCAAAGACCATGGAATAATTATTTCTTGGGCAGGGTATTTCTTAATGCTTTCAGGGAAAGACTCTGAATATGTAGCCCTCTTGTAAATATAAACCCTTGAAAGATATTTGGTTGGGGGAGCACTTCTGGTGGAGAATCCCCAGCGTGACCCTGGTGCTGCAATAAGGAATACCTGCTTAACAGTGAAATTCTTTTGCTGTTAAGTTTCTTCATTTCAATAGACTGGAGTCTAAAGGAAACGCAGTGGTTCCAAATTCCCTGTGTCTGTGCAGAGGGTTTTAGGGGATGGTGAGTTCCAGCAGCTGCATTGGGGGCTATCCCCTTTCCTGGGAGAGCTGGGTCTGCACAATTTTGCTTTCAGAGCAGGGCTCTGTTGGTGGCCAGTACATCCCCGCCTGAACAGAATATGTTAGGAAGTCTGGAAGCTAAAGCAAAACTTGTAGCCCTAAATTTCCTCGCTCTGTTCAGAGGGTTTATTAGGATAGTGAGATCCAGGAAATGCATTCAGGGC